GAATCGCCCCTAATATTCATGGCAGGAATGGATAGTATTTGTTTGACATGTTGACCTGTTCACTAGTTTGGTTTTGTACATTTGAACTTTTCAAACCATTGCCTATATTTTGGTTTCATCTTTGTTGACAGGTAGGGAAGCGAAAATATCAGCCTGATCTAATTTAAAATGATACAGACTCATTTAATTCCTTTACCACATACTTTTGTGTGTGTGGCTACTCTTTATCACTTCCATTAATGTATTTCCAGACACAAATTATTTAGGTGACAAAATTCAGAGTTTTTCCTGGACACCCATGATACCAAATAGTGGCTTCCCCCACGCTCATAGCAGCCACCTCCTGTTCCCATACATAAATGGCAGCAGCAATGGCTGGAAACAAAGGAGGCTCTCCCAGCCTCTGAATACAGTGACATTCATTCTGAGAGAAGCAGGGGCAGCTTTTTGAAAGCCGACTTCTTCAGCTCAACAATAACACACAATGAGTTATTGACTTGTTTATGTACGGAGCTCTTTTCAGTAACTAACTCTGACTCCCACAGTCTGGACAAATGATTGATTTCGTGGTTAGAAAAAGAGAGAGCTCTTGCGCTAAACTCTGTAGTGCAAACTACTTCTTCCCTATTTGTCCCTAACTGAATAGGACCTTATTAAAATGCACTTCCCAAAAAAATACCTGCAGCTGGCCTTTATAACCATGTTTTGTATGTATAAATAAGTAATTTGTCCCAGTCTTTTGTATATTAACAGACCATTGGGGAACTTGTCGCTATATATGAAGGCTGATTGTCCTGTTGTTTATGCTAAACTGTATTGTCTGTATTGATCTGCATGTAAAATATGGATCCAACAATTTATTAATAGATCAATATTTACAGGTCAAAAACAGATTTTTGATAGAAAGATTCAGTGTTCTTGTTGGGTTATGTTGATTTATGAAGGATATTATACACAACACATATCATGTACTTTACGTTTGAATCTCTAGGTGTTCTGAATACAGAGGAAAATATATGCAGGACTACAGTTCGGGGCACTGAGAGTTTGGTTGGACGCATAGGCTCTTCCCTCTTTGGCTGGTACCATTTGGAATGTCAGTATGAATTAGGTTGATGGAACACACCAGCTTGCTAGATTACTGTGCCTTCTCTAAAGATATTAATAAATGGACTTAGAGTTTACTTTAGAGTTACTTTCCCCTGTAAAATAGATTTTATTTTATCTTACTATCATGTAAAAAGTTTTACACAAAACTTTAACTCCCCCCCAAAATATTAAGGGGAGTTAAGAAAACAAGAAAGAAAAGCCACACACTGTTGACGACGCACGTGAAACGGGGTCCCTGCTGTTCTGTCTGTGTTTCTCCAGCAGAAGGTCTTGGGCCTGTTTCCCCTCTAGGACAGCCATAGTGGGGCTTCACGAGCCAGCAAATGCTTGAAGAACTCCTCAAAATTAAGAGCATTTTCTGTTACAGTCACAACAGGCTGCATGTTTTATATGAGGGAACTGTTTGTGTCTCAACTATGACCCGGAGGGCTTTAGACAAAGGATGCTGCCAGCGCCTGTAGCATCAACAGTTTGAGTAGAATGGATACAGTCTGAAAGGAACCACCTCCAGAAGTCATTTCACTGGACTCTGTTGGTCTACTTTTGTGGATTTTTCTTTTTTTAATTCCTGAACAAATCCTTTGAGGTGAACTTATCCTTTTTCACCTTGTTTCTCTAACCAGACCATTTTCTTGCAGCATTTTTGTTCAGTTTTCTTTGACAGAACTGTTATGTTTCTTGTTTCTTCCCTTTCTACACTGGCCTTAATGAGTCACTTGATTGCTCTATTCTGGCTACTTTAATATTGAATGAGCCCGACCTGAACCATATTTTGGATAGCTCAAGTTGGTTACTTACATATTTTTAAAATCTTAACAGCAAAGCCTGACAAAAATGGTATATTAAACCTTCCTATTTAGCTTGTTAGATTTCGATGTGCACAGCGAATGTTTGGGGTGTTTTCTCACATTCAAAAAGGACAAAGATATTCTGAGAGCAAAGCGACTCGGTTTCTTTCGCCCCTGTTTGGTAGAGATTTGGCTTTTCACAGTTACATACAAATTTTAGTCATCTTTCTGTTTTTTTTTATTGAGGTATAATTGACATATATAATAGTTTCGGGTGTACAACATAATGATTTGATATTTGTATATATTGCAAAATGGTCACCACAATAAGTCTAGTTAACATCCATCACCACACAGTTACAGAATTTTTTTTCCTTGTGATGGGAACTTTTAAGATCTACTCTCTTAGCAACTTTTAAATATGCAATGCAATATTGTTAACTATAGTCACTATGCTCTACATTACATCCCCATGAGTTATTTATCTTATAACTGGAAGTTTGTACCTTTTGACCTCTTCACCCATTTCCTGCCCGCCCCCTCACCGCCCGGCACAACCACCAGTCTGTTCTCTTTTTCTATGAGCTGGGTTGTTTTGTTTTGGTTTTCTTTAGATTCCACATTTAAGTGAGATCATACAGTATTTGTCTTTCTCTTCTGACTTATTTCACTTAGCATAATGCCCTCAATGTTCATCCTTTCCGTTTGTTTTGATTTTTAATTTGAAGTTTCTACCCTCTTTATACATGAAAAATTAGTCTCAGAAATTTCAAATCCATTGACAAAAATGATTTCACATATTTTAGATGAGAATAGCAAATCAAAAGCAACTAGTTTTGTCTTTATGAAGAAACAAGATGTTCTCCTCCAAAGTGACAGGAGAGCAGACTCCCATGATTGTTATCACGTGGGCTTGAGGGAGAGGTGCTGTTAGCTCTGCATGTTATTAATACCTCAGAGTGAAAATGACTTTCTTAATTTGACTTTTTACTTACAATAATTTTCTCCTAAATGATCGTATTAAAATATCTCTCTTGAAATGGCTGGCCTGTTTCCAGAAAAGGCCCATGTGTGTGTCCTTACATACTGATGACCATTTGTCTCTCAGAGTCCTGCTGGATTCCCTGTGTGGTACTATGCATATGGTGCTTTTCAGTACCGTTGATATGTTTTCCCTCAGCTTGTGTAGATTAGTGTAGTGCTTCTTTGGAGGTTGAGTATTGGAATGGAAGTGATTTTTCCAACTGTGGTGCTTTCAGAGGTAAAGAATTCCCACCTTTTAAGAGTTACTTGGAAGCAGTCCCAAAAGTCATGGCCCTGGGAGACCTTGTTAGAACCTGACTTACTGCTGTGGCACCAAAGAGTTTCATAGCTCTGTTGTTGTTTTATTTCTCTTCAAAAAAGGACTGCTCTGAATGTTTTTGCATTTAGAAATTAAATTTTTAGAGAATAGATGAGCTTGGTGAATATTCCCTAGTCGCTCTCCTTCACGCCTGTCTCCCCCTGAGATGAGAATCCTCCATGAAGAAATAAACAGAGACCCAAGACAAGTATGTGAGCCACAGTTTACACACAGGCTTCCACGTGTGGAAGTTGAGCTGGGTATTTGATGTTTTATAAGGTTATGTTTCTGTTTTACTTCAGCACAGGAAAAATACTCCTTGCGGAGAGTGGTCCGAAGAACAATCTCACACGATGATCTTTTTTAACTCTTTGTCAGTGGTTCTCAGTCTAGAACAGGGGTCGGCAAACTGCTGACCAAATTCAGCCAGTCACTTGTCTGTTTTTTGTTTTATTCAAGTATAGCTATGCTCATTCGTTTAAGTACTGTCTATTTCATGCTGCCAGGGCGGAGTTGGGTAATTGAAGGAAAGACGGTATGCCTCTCCCTCCCCACGCCTAAAATATTTACTGTCTGGCCCTTTATAAAATGTTGTTGAACTCCTTATCTGGGGTGATCATCAGAATCACCTCAGGATCCCTGGACCTTTCGCCTCTACCAAAACAGAATCTCTGACACACTGAGCTGTGTCACGTGTCCATGGATGAGGTGTTGGCAGGTCAGGTGCTCTTCTTCAGCGTTTGTGCACAGCTGCATCGAGGAAGCCACACTGTTGAGGGCACCCCCGCTTCATCCCAAGTACAGGAGTGGGTTTTCAGGCAGGTGTGGCTTAAAGATTCATGTTAACTCAAACATGGTTAGCTAGGCCTACAGTTGAGAAAGCCTATTTAAAACAACAGCAACATGAACAAAACAAAACAGAAAAGGGTCATTATTCCTTTTTAATCCTCAATAAGGAAGTACAACATGGCAAGTCCACTGCTTAAGAATTGTTAAAATTCTAATTCAGAGGGTCTGTATCAGGCTCCTGTTTTCCTTCTTTCTATTGATGCCAATCTGTTGAGTGAATATTATCGTGGGAGTTTAGCTTTTTCTTTTTGTTGAAAATAGCATTTTGTTTCAACGGAGATTTTTATAAAGAAATATAGAATGGGCCACGTCCACCTTTTTACAACATATGAGTGAGCAGCAGCAGAGAAGACCTTCATCTGGCTTTGTAAATGGAGCAGGTCAGGGGTCACTGTTTAGGTCTTTCAGGTACATTGTCCTTTGTCATGAAATATTATAAATCATTTTGCATCGTTCTAGAGTGTTTCAATTGACATTTACTTTTGGTTTATGTCCTTGAATTCTTATCCTGACATAACAGCCTCCAATTTATTTCCTACTGGCAATGAAAGATTTTAATAGGAAATATCAGCCTAATTAAAGAAAAAAGTTGCTATGCTCATTTTGATAAAGTGCTTTGAAAAAGTATTCATCGGTGTGAAATATCTGCAATTGAGGACCCCCTCTCAAGTCATATTTTAGTAAACTTAAAAACAATAAAAGTGGAAGTGAAAAATTCAGAGTGTTAAATGTTTTAAATATAAAAATGAACTTTCAACTTATTTAATCTAAATGGAGTTCATTTTCACATAAGTATGGGCCAAATTAATTTCAAATCACCTTCCACAATTATGCTAAATTAGTTGTTTGAATAAATGTTGCTATTGGTTGTCAATAGGCGCCTCTTTTCATGTCATTTATTTATTTTCTAGTTGAACATGGCCATGGATGAGCAGAAAGAGAAAATTACTGAAAAAGTTATTCTTTCCATGACAGCAACGGAACACCATAAGGCACAAGAAGAAGTAAGGAACTTACTTTTTAAACTGTATTACAAAACTACAATGAACTAATTTTAAAGTTAAGACAAATTTTACGTGGGTCTGGTAGTGAACCAACTATAGTTATCTGATAACAACATAATGGAAAAAAATTGGTCAAAACTGAAAATCATTTTATTCATATAGGCAGCTTGAAAAATAATTATATGCTTGAAAGAATAAGTCATATTATAATTTTCTGAAAAATGCGTATGAGTACTTTCTCATAAATTTCCTAAATTAGGAAATTATTGCATGCAACTTGAATCTGGAAATTATAGAAGATGCTAACAGGAAAAACATTAAAATTTTGTTGAACTTTGAGTAAATACTAAATCTTGTTTTTACTTTATGACTTTCTAGGAATAGAATTATTGTTCTGAATTTTAGAAATGCTAACAATGTTACCACTTATTAAGGGAAAACTGCAGTTTACAAATGTCAAGCCTAAGTGAGCTAGTCAGCAGGTTCCGGAGGCAACCTTGTAACGAAGGACACAGGGCAAGCCTTCTTCTCTCCAGAGCTCATGCTGTGAAGTCCAGGGCAGATTCCATAAATGAAATAATGTTACAAAATTGGTGTTAGACAGAAGGGGAAGATAATTTTCATGTAGTTCCTGGAATGCAAAAGTATTTAATCTTTCTGAGGAAAGATCATGAATTTGCTAATTTCCATGTACCACTATCAGTAAATAAAATCTATAAGCAACTTAAAGAATAAGACAGTGTGAATATTTAAAAATTAAACTTTCATGTAATTCTCTTTTGACGTTTTGGAAGAAATCTACCCAAGCTTTAGAGTTTTAATATTCTTATCATTGTGATTGCATCTCCTTTGCTATGTGTTTTATAACAGATGGACAGGTACAATGCATCAAATTTTCCTGAGAGAATTCAAGTCTTACATTAGAGACTACGTTAATATTTGAAACCTGTTTGAAACCTATATATGTCCGGCATTAAAGACTATGTTGTAAACATTGATTGTTAATCTCAGTAGAGATATTTCATAAGAAAAATTCAACTTGCATAATTCCTAAGGTGTAACAAATAACAATTGTGTAGATTTAAGTTATAGTCCTGACTCATTCCACTTAATAAGTTAAAGACAAGGTTTTTAGTTATAAATTTAAAACATATTGTCCTCAATTCATTTGAAAAATGTTTTTATCACAGTTGGAGAGTTTTATTACATTTTCCCAGTAAGTGTAAGATGATTTTATCATGTATCTTGATACGGTAAACTTTAGGAAATGCAAATAAGTATCTCTAGTTTAAATAGTATAATTAAAATTATATCTATCATAACACAAATTAATACTAGAGGTTAAATAGAAAATAACCTAAAAGAATGAACAGATTAAATATTTTGTGCCTTTTAAATATTGTGATTATTTTGCTCTTTGATATTTTATGTAAAATTACAATTTCAATGGAACTGAAAACTTAAAGTGGCCCAGGAAAATGATCATTATGCTGAACATATCATTTTTAATGCTACCTTGTTAGTAATACTGGAAATGAAAATTATCTTTTATGGAAAATTCAACAGTATTTATGCTTATTTGGTATTTTTTCTTTATTGTCATCTTAATGTTTATTTAATACCAATATACTTCCGTGTTCTTCCTACACAGTACCTTATGTGGTCACATATTTGCTTGACCAGCTATGGCTCCAAATGCCTTTTCTTTGCTTCAAAAATCAAATACACAGTAAAGGGAGTATGTATTTGTGTGTGTGTGTGTGTGAGAGAATGTGTGTGTACTAATCTCTAAATATATTCCATATGCTATGAGAATAATTTCCATGTCATTACTTTGAAAGTGATTATATTAATCTTGATGTGTAATTTCTAGTGTTTTGGTTAGAAAAAAATCAGTCACATCAAGTTTTGGCTCTAATTCATGTACAAAGATGTAAAATTGTGATGGTGGGGAGAAATGAAAAATTTGTGGGGAGGGGTTGCTTCAATGTTTTTTTTTGCCCACAGTTTATTTTTTTTACAAAAATATTATATTTCTAGACATATTTCAAAACCCAAACTAAACATCTTAAAATCTGAGATTTAGATTTAGATTTCTGCTGCCTATAGTTTTATCTTAAAAATCTTGGTGTTTTTCATGTAATTTTTCCACATGAAAACTAGGAATAATGATAATGTATGCATCATAAGATGCGTATGGATTTTATGAGAAGAAATGCCTCTGAGAGGAAATGAGGAGAGTTCTGGGTAAGGCTGGGAGAACTGCCAGACTGGAATGTGGGCTTGAACTTGACTGAAGACGCGAGGAAAGGAAGACGGCGAAGCACCCCCCAGTGCTGTGCAGTCTAAGGAAGGTCCAGTGAAGGCGTGGGGTATCCTGGGGCCAAAGTGGTCCCTCAGAGGAGTTCTGTGACTCCCAGGGGCACCTGCCTTAGTATCCTCAGCCATTGGCGCCACCCTGGCCGTGGCTTTCAGAGCACAGTCACTGGGACCCGTGGTCAATTATGCTTCTGCACTGAGGGGTCTGTGAGGCATATTCTCTTGCTTCCTCAAAAGGTGTAGTTGACATCATCCTTCTTGCCATCATCATAGCCCTGTTTTCAGGTGAGTTATAGACATCTAAAATGTCTCTATTTTCCATCGCCCCTTCCCCCATGAGTGGATGGGGATGTTAGACTCTTGAATAGGCTTAAAGGCAGCACATGAGGGACCTCTGGCTGGAAACAAGATAAATCTCTTTCCAAAATATTTTCCATCTCTAAAGGGTTCTAGGAAACTATTACAAAGTTGGAAGTAGTTGAAGTGGCAGGAATAAGAGGTGGTACCCACTCCAGGTTTCCCGGAGCTCCCCTGCAGCCCCTCCTTCCAAATCAAGAGACACTTAAATTTGCTCACAGGTTCCCATGTCCTTTCTAGTCTTTGTTCCTCAAGTCTGCGTTATCGTTCTCTTCTTAACCTGAAAAACACTGTACTCTTGGGCCTGAAACAAAGAAGAGAGTTTAGGAAGTTTAAAATACCCATTTTCATCTCCCTCCCCCCTTTCTGGTTCTTCTTAATTATGGTGTAAATTAGAAAGTTTCTTGGTCTTAAGTTTAAGCGCTGGCCTTGTTTGGAGACCATCCTGTATGTTACATGCCGAGATGACACTCCTCGCAGAGAGGCTGCTGCCCTTTGTGCTGATTTCAAGGGACAGTTCAGTGCAAAGTGCTCTGGAGTCCTCCTTCCTGACACAGATGGACTCAAGGCCACACAGCATTCAAGCCGACAGCCGAGCTCATCACTGGAAAAACCAGGAGCTCCTCAAAGAGACGTTCGTAATAGAAATGTTCTGTTCAAAGTACAGTATTCAGAACCTATGGTTCAGAATGTGCAGCTTCAATATGCATACCTTTTAGAATGGTTATAAACAGAATAATATTTTGTGCTGACTAAATCATCTTGAGAATTTAATTAAATGCAAGGATTGCATGAATGCATCATAAAAACACGACCAAACTGCCCTGCATAGGTTTTTATGCAGAAACCCCCTGTGTATGTTTGTAGACAGGTGTGCATTTGCATTCCTGCAGAAGTTTGGTTTGTTTTCTCAGAATACTCAATTTTTTTTTTTTGCTACCTTCTGCTCATTTGTCACTCTCCCAAATTGTGTACAAGTGTCACTTCCGTGCTGCATTTCCACAGAGAATGAAGAGTAGAATGTGTAGGCTTTCCGCTGCACAATGAGATGGTGCGTTTTTCAGCATATGCATACGTAAGCCTTCTTTTGTGAATGGGACTGATAGGGTCAGATAATGTTTAAAGGGAAAGTCTTTCTGTCTCTCAGGCCTCTATGTTTCCACATGGGTGCTCCCACACACACGTAGATTGAATTATGAACAGACCCATTAATGCTGGGATCACAAAAGGTCAAGTTTTGTCTTCTTTTACCCCTATTCACGTTGCCTTTGTAGAGAGGAAAAAAAAAGGATTTGCAGAAAAAAAGATTCATGATGAAGAATTTTAAAGAACATTTTTCCCCTTCTAGCAACATCTGTGATTTGAAAAAAAATCATATTATGTAAAATAATTCAGGAGTATTGTATTACTTACCCGATTTTGGTATATGAGTTATTATGTGTAGGGTTATCTTTAAGGATAACATGTTATCATAATAACTGAGAACAAAATGTAGCACTTTGACGATAGAAGACCTTATGAATATGTAAAGTAAAGTTTTAGTAAAACTGGATGGAAACTTTATCAAAATGTCAGTGGCAGGATCCTTGACATATTTTCTTCTATGTTTAAGATAATTTATTTTTGCTAAGGCATATTATTTGATAGTTTTAAGTTCTTTTTAAACACAGGTGATGATTGGTGTAATTATGCTTCACATACATTAACAGGTAATCAAGGGACCAATGAAAATAGCAAAAATGATAGAGAAATTTTTTGAAGTAACCAAGAATTCATAGGAAATGAAACTTTTAAGGCTTTAACCAATAGCCTTTTAGAATGCAAATGACATCATCAATTGTATGGTTGGTTGATTTCTGATGTCACATGAAATCTCCTATCAGTGAAATGCTATGGATTGTGACAGTAAAACCAGTCATGTATAAAAATGCTCTCAAATCAAAGCCTGAAATCCTCCCTTTTTTGTTGTTGTTGTTGGCTTACTATAGCACAAGGTGCAGTACATAAAACTAAAGAGAGCAACGTTCCTGATTAGCACAATACATTATGTGATGTTTAGTATACTTTAAAGACTACATAAAATTATATCTTCTGGAATTGTATGATGCTGGGCAGAGAAGATCAGTGCTTTCCAGAAATGAAGTCTTCCTACTTAAGGCCTTTGGTTCTTGGATTTTATTTATTTATTTTTTTGTGAGGAAGATCAGCCCTGAGCTAACATCCATGCGAATCCTCCTCTTTTAGCTGAGGAAGACCGGCTCTGAGCTAACATCTATTGCCAATCCTCCTCCTTTCCCCTCCCGCCCCCAAAGCCCCAGTACGTAGTTGCATGTCATGGTTGCACATCCTTATAGTTGCTGTATGTGGGACATGGCCAGAGAAGCATGGCCGGAGAAGCAGTGCATGGTTGCGCGCCTGGGATCCGAACCCGGGCCGCCAGTAGCAGAGTGCGCACAGTTAAATGCTAAGCCACGGGGCTGGCCCTGGTTCTTGGATTTTAATTTTGTCAGATAACAATAGGAGCAAGTCACTTGGCCTGTTTTGATCTCTGGTTTTGATAAATACTGTTATTCATCATGTTTGAGGATAATACTGCTGGAGGGTAGTATTGTGAGATGAGGCTGAAAACATTCACTAATATTGGATCATCTATCATTTCCATATTTTAAATGTTACTTCTTTCTCATAGGGTTAACAGTACTGTGGAAAGCACAGAAGTTCATTCCAGAAAGTAAGAAAAGGTCTTGAATCTCGAATACCAAGCTGAGGAATCTGGGGGAGCAACTGGAGGATTCAGTGTGCTATTGGAGGTCGATTAATGTGGGGGAGGTGGCAAGATGGATTAGAGGGGGAGAGACCAGAAACAGGGAGACCACTCAGCAGGTGTTTTGGTAATGCAAGTAGGGGGAGGGGACGAGGACATGAGAGCTTGGACCAGGGTATTACTTTTAAGAGAAGATAGGAAGGAGAAAACATATATGTATTTGGAAGAAGGGCTGGCAAATACAGCCCTGGGGCCAGCTCCAGCCCATCACTTGTTTTTCTAAATAAAGTTTTATTGGAACACAGCCATGCCCATTTGTAACATATTGCCTGTGGCTACTTTCAAAGTACAACTGCAGGGTGAAATAGTTTTGATGAAGACCTTATGGCCCACAAAGCTGAAAATATTTATCATCTGGCCCTTATAGAGAAAAAGTTTTCCAACTCTTTATTTAGAAAAACGGATCGTTTAAAGGGAGTAGATGATTGATGGCATAGGGACAAATAAGAGAGATACAGGAGACCAAAGAAAAATAGGAATCACTAAATTAGCTTGTGTATATGCACATAATGCTTCTAAAGTTCTTGGGAAAAGTTAAATGTAATTGAAGTTTGAACTAGGTAGAGTAGAAAAATAAATCTTCAAGTCCTAAGGATAATAGTACAAACTTGCTTTCACTAACTTCCCTGAAATCCTCTGTGTCAGGGATAGGAATCATAGATTTAACATCAGAGTTGAAGTGTAGGCTGGGCCAAATACCATCTTTTCAGCCGAGGATGAGGTGTCAGTATGTGGGAGTCTCTTGGAGAAGGATTTCCCATTTTTACTGTGGACATTGAAGTGAGATGAGAATCTAAAGTTTCAACTTTTTATCTGCTTTATGTGAAATAGGAGTAGGGAAAGGAAAGAGACCAAGAATAACAATTGAAACTTGATGTGCAGAGAACACCTAGATTTAAAGAAGAAAATACTATAATAATATAACATGCATGAGGCACCAATTGTAGCTTAGACATTGTGCTGTCCATTCTTTAATCTTGTTTAATTATTAATATGGTAAGGTCAGTATTATTCTTCATTTATGGATGAGGGTTTATTACCTATTCAAAGTCTCTCACTCAGTAATTGAGAGAACCAGGATTTTAACTCAAGATTTCAAAAAATCCATGCTCTTTTCAGAGTCATTCATTATTCTAAATGGGTCTAATTTAATCACTTTAAAGAATCATGGATAAGGTGAATTTCTGCTTTTCATCTCTTTTGGTCACTACCATATGTCAACTAGTGTCTAAGAATCCATTTCTATTAGAGTGAATATGAGTTTACATAACACAGTGAAGAGTCAAAAAATGATACGATTTTTAATTTGTAAACTATATAGATTAAAATATTAACTTACTATTTCTGAGTCCTCAGCATGTCTTATTAATAATCTGTAAGTCAAATTCATATGTCTGTCTTAAATCTGCTGATTAGAAATCTAGAAATTTAAAAATAAAGGTTACATGTTTCTAAGCCTTTACTACTTTTGGAAAAATTCTATGCTTTATTCAGAAATTGATATATTTTCAAAACATCGTCTAGAATAGAGAATTGTCTTTGAAGTATGGATATTTTTGAAAATTGTATTTATGAAATTTGGAAAATTATATTTTTGGAATATTTGGAAGGAAGACTGATTTATTTAAAAGGTCAACAAAATTTTAATGAATTTAACATATGAATTAAAATTTTAAATGAAACATATAGATAGTAAAATAAAATATTCTAAAATGGAATGTACATATAATAAAATTAAATATTCTCATTGGCACATGTATTGGATTAATTAAAGTCTCAGGAAGGTTTTATTTTGTTAAGCAGTTTACAAGTCTTTGGCAGTCTTGTCAGATGTATATGTTTCTTTTTATATCCAGAAATATTTTTCATTCAGCAATTGTAAATGGCTACCTATTCTGTATTACTAAAGTACAAAGGTTAGAATTTTCCCATAAATAACATTTGTTGATGAAGGAATGTATGTCTCTTTTATTTACTTGAAGAGAGTTCTGTACTCAAATTTTCGTATTGAAGTCATTTTCCTCCCATCAAACTAGGTACTCAAAAATCTAATAGGTGTGACATCAACAATTACTTCTTGCTAACAACTCTCGTAATTTAACCCCTTCAGGTGAGCAGGCTGATTGATGAATTGGAGACAGCTATCAAAAGCAACAGAGGTCATCTCTCTAAACTTGGCCCCCAATTACAGGCTGAGCAGGAGCAATTCTCCTCTTATGTCTACCAACACATTAAAAGCCTTCCAGCAAACACTCTTATCCCAAGAGGCCTGCGGCTCAAGGTGGGTGTCATTCTGCGATTCTCACCGGGTTCAGCCAGAGACAAAAAACGCTCTGTGCTCCATTTGAAGACCCTGTAACAATGCCTCTTGGCTCAGATTTCTTTTCATGTTGTCTTCCTCAAACTGGAGTTTGGCTGACAAGTGCTAATATTACCGTTCAGAGAATACGTTTTAAAAGAAAATGCCTAGAGGCCTTTGAAATGTGGATTTATAAACTTCAACCCAGAAAAATAATTTAATGAAGAATTTTAATCATGTGAACATTTGCATACTTTCCCAAGAAACATATTTTTCACAGGAGTCACTATCTATTTCAGTTTTTAAAAATAACTTATTTGGAGAAATGGGCGAGCTTTAATCATTGATGGACAGAGGCACTAGGAATTAGAGGTGGAAGGCCAGGGACTGATCGATGTTCACACGGCATTTCCAAGGAAAAGGATCTGTACTGGAGAAGTGTGACACAAGTCTGAGCTCACTTGTGAAATCAATACTTAAGAATATACTGGGAAAAAAGGTGAATTGGTTATTTGTCAGGACAAGACAGCTAAATGTCCTAGACTCTTTGCTTTCGCATCTTTGGAGGAGAAAAATAACTCGTACTTGGCTAAAGTGGATTAGGTACTGAAGCTTAGGGAATTTAAACACTTTTGTTTATCATGATAGGGTATCCGTGCTAAGTCAATATTGGCCTATAATTTCACATCCCATATTTCAAGAGACTATAATTAGTAAAATGTGAATTTTACTCTAAGTATGGCCCTTTTCCATCTAAGGAACAAACCATTACTACAACTCTTCTTTTCCTTTTGATTATATTTATATTTGAATGTGATAACATTCAAAGTAATTATATTTTGATCAGCCTTTTTCTCTACAATTCTTCTTAATATTCAGTTTTATTCTGCAAATAACATTATAAACAGTATATTTTCTATCTATAACTTTCTTAATGGCATTTCCATGTTTGCGTTTTTCTTTTACTTTTTTTATTGCTGAGGAAGATTCGCCCTGAGCTAACATCTGTTGCCAATCTTCCTCTATTTTGTATGTAGGTCACCACCACAGCATGGCTGCCAACCAGTGGTGTAGGTCCGTGCCTGGGAACTGAACCCGGGCCGCTGAAGTGGAGTGCACTGAACTTAACCACTAGGCCACAGGGCCAGACCCCATGTTTGCATTTTGAATGAGAATGTTACCATGTAAAAATTGACCTTTAGGGAAATGTAACTCCACGATAAATATGATAATATATTTCTCATAGTCTGTGCTAGTCAGCTAACTATTTAGGAAGTGATGTTGAAGACATCAGGTCAGGGGTTGCTCTAGTCCAGTAGTGTTATTCTTTTCCAGATTTTTGACTTGGTTACAGATCCATTCCACCATTTTTCCAAGTACTTGCTATTGATTGAGAGAAGAGCTAGGTGAGGGAGCCTGGTTGTCTTAATACCATTCATCCCGCTCATTTGTATCAGCAACTGTCCTATGACTTGTAAAAAAATGAAAGTGTTTTTTTCCTCACGTTTGTTGCACTTCTGAATAATTTCTATCACTCATTCACATTAGCACATGGGCTTGATAGCAAATATTTAACTTTAGGATCTGAATTGTTACTCTCATATATTCCCCTTTGAATATGCTTCAAAATTCTTTCCATATCAGCAAACAAAAGAGGAAATTTATAAACGCAAAGACGCCGTCTCGTTGTATCTGTTTAGACTCACTGTGCTGTCCAGTACAGTAGCCACTAGCCACATGTAGCTATTTAAATTTAAATTAATAAAAATTAATTAAAATGAAAAATCCAATGCCTCCAGTAGTATGCCAGTGACTTTCCTGGTTTTAGCACTGAAAGCACCACATCCAGGAAACGTCTCAGTCCCAGGCAAAACGGCATGGTTGGTCACCCTGGTCTTGTCTAAGAGTTCCCTCTCCTTCCTCCAAGGCGTTCTCCTGCTTTGTGATTCTTTCCCCATGAAGTACTCAGCCTTATTTGCTTCTCCCTCCTTTCTCCTCTGTTTTCTCCTTTGGAACATCCAATTTCTCTCAGAGAATAAATTCCTCTTGCCATATTCCAGGAAACCTGGACATCAGCCCCAACTTCTGGCCTTAGCACAGACCACTGGTTTTTCAACCTTGGCTGCATATTAGAATCATCTGGAGACCTTTTAAAAAACACCAATGCCCCCACCTCCAGAGATTTTGATTTAATTGTTTCGGTATGCTGAAAATTGCTTCTATTGGTTTGTAATTGCTGATTGTTAAATTTTGAGGAATTTTGTGAGCCAATTGTTAAATACAGCCATTATTTAAAATTAAAGTATATAGACTTACAATTAAATAGATCTTATTAAAAACAAAGGTATTACTCTTCACTTCTTAGTTATTGTATTACATTTTATGATCACCTCTGCCCCTTGAAGTAATTTATGCCCACGGTGTCTGTTTAGTGGAAGTGGGTAGTGGTGTGGTGCTGTGCATCTCTCCAAAGTTTGTGTTCAGTGATGGCCTGTTGTAACTTGAAATTGTTGGGAGTGGGTGTTTGGACTGATGGAAAAGACACTGAGATCCGGAGTTTTCTAAACTAGTTCCTATGTCTGAAATAGCCAGTCAGTAGAGACAAACTGGATTAACAAAGAATACCCTAAATATTCGGAATTGCAAATCTCTTAGAATTGAGGCATTTTTCTGTACTCCCTTTCAGGTGGGGTGACTTGCTAATTCCACCTGAAGCGATGTTGAGCAGAGGCCACAGCTTACCATTCTTTGCTAATTCCAGAATCAGTTCATGTCAGATGCCTGGCCAAACTCTAATTCCCCATGGGGTGTGGATGAGCTGCCTTTCCATGGAGCACCATCTCTGACCCAGTTACCTCTGACTCACTGTGGGCCATGGCCGTGTCTTCTCTGGTTATGAACAACTTTATCCCACCTTATGGTGTGTACTTTGCAGTGTTAGATGACATATCAAAAAACAGATGTAGCATGCACTGACGCACCGCTTGGCAGGCCATGCTATGGCGGCGTCCCATATGAAGTGGAGGAAGATGGGCATGGATGTTAGCCCAGGGCCAGTCTTCCTCAGCAAAAAGAGAAGGATTGGCAGATGTTAGCTCAGGGCTGATCTTCCTCACAAAAGAAAAAAAAAAAGAACAACAGATGTATTTTCCATTTATAACTGAAAACCTTGGCTCTAGTAAAACTTATTTTTCCCCTTTTCTATATATTTTGATCTTAGAAAAGTGTCTGATAAAAAAATGATTTGGGATCGTCATCTTTCTAATTTTCTCTATCTGATGATTTACATCACTCTCATATACATAAGCCCATGGCTCAGCTTCAAGAACCGAAGTGATGGATTGCAGCCTCCTGGTGTCCTAGAGCAGTGGTTCTCAGTGGGCTGGAGACAGGCTGTGATTCAGAACCCCCAGTGCTTGTTCATGTTGCATAAGGTTGCCTTCACCTCTTCACTGAGCTTCTCATCCTCATCATGTCTTTCATCGATAATTTAAAAATAGCAGCTTTTAATTAAGTCTTAATATTAGAAGGTCACCTCTTTAATGGACACACACTTTCTGCGTTCCATATTGCCTTGGTCCCATTTCTGCAGTCACATGGCATAAAGCCGTCCTAAGTTTAGATGGGCAAAAAAGACAAAGGACTGAAAACAGCTCAAGTTTGGATGTCTATCCTGCCATGGAAAGGTTTCTTGTTAAAAAAAAAAAAATTTGAAAACAACATGACAACATTAGAGGAATTTTAGGAAAAAGTTATGTCACCCGTAATCACATTATTTGTTATGTGACTATTCTCACCCTTGCATGTCACTTCCATATGCACTCAGATGCCCTACATCGTCACAACCACAGTGTGCACTGTTTTTGTAGTCTGTTACATTCTCTTGCCATCACATCATAGCACCTTTTAAGTTGATGAGATTTCTTACTGTTTTTACCTTTTGTAGTCACTCTCAATGCACGCCATAGTCTGTGAAGCCCTTCAGGTAACTAATTTTGGGAGCCATTGCTTATTGTTGTAGACCTTCTCTTACCCCGTATGGCCTGTCACTGCCACCACCGCAGCCACTGTGAGAACATCTGCCTTAGCCATGGCTCAGTGACTTGTGCCTCCCCAGCCCTGCTCTTCCCACAACTCCGCCTCCTCTTCATCCCCATGGAGATGCTGTCAGGAACGTGCAGGAAAGAAAGGATTGATAGGGGTGGGTATTAGCAAGTCTGTAGGGGATGGTGGGTGGAAAACTAGGAGGAAGGTAGGTGATCGTGACAGAGAATTGATGAGCAGGAGTGTGGGGTGTGTGAGTAGGTGGGGAAAACCTGGGATGAGAGCAGGATGGGTCAGCTTTCCACACACAGTGGTCAGTGGTGCTCCGGGGTTAGCTTCCATTTGCTGCCGGTAGAGGCAGATCCACTTTCTGTGGGGTCTAGAGCTTGTAAAATTTGGGGGAGAGGAGCCTCCTTAAAATTAGGCCTGAAAGTGGATATTTATTTAGAATGAGAAAATAAATCACAACAAATTCATGGAGGCTTGAAGATTCAGATCCTTTCTTCTGAGATCTTTTTATGGCAGCTTTTCAGAAAAACTTACATAGAAATACTCTCTAATTGCTAGCTGGCTCCCGCCCCCCACTTCTGGCCAGCTGTAGCTCTCAGCGTCTCCCAGTGCTCTCAGGGCTTGGAGCACGTGAGGGTCCCAGAGCTGAGTCTTCATTAACCTCACACAAATCCACTCTGGTGCGAGCAAGGGAAATACAGTGGGGTTTACAACCTAGACAAAACAAGATGCAGATGGCTGTGATTTGGAGATTTTTTAGCCTTTCTGTTTTTATATCATTTGGTTATAATATTCTCTTATAGCTTTGGTAAAGGGATAATTCAGAGATTTATTCCTTAAAGAACGTCTTTGTCCAGCATCTAGTTCATCCTCTGGGTAGTAGAGTATGCATCTAACAATTTTTATTCTCCCAATGACAGAAATAAAGA